AAAATTGCGATTTTTTAAGGAAAGCGGGTAAATGTGTTAAATTTGCCATTTTAAGCCAGAATTGACTTCGATAGAAAACATGCGGACTTTGCGCGATTTCACTGAATTTTTCAGGGCGTAAAGATTGAAATTATTTGTATGGATCCTGCAAATTTCAAGTTTCTACTTGGTCGCGATTGGAAATTACAATTCGTTTAAAGTAACGCATGCAAGTGTTTAAATTTGGAAGTTTTAAGCCATCAGAGATTTGGCTAGCAAACATACGTATTTTGCACGCTTCAGCATTTCAAGATTCTATTTGAAGATGAAAAGCACTCGGCCTTGCAAAACCTCAGGAAGAAATTATTTTCACACATTGTACTATTTTTGCAGTTTCGTAGATGTTGACGCATTTCCTGTTAAGTTATGAATAAATAAATCTCCGTTTGTTTCAAAGAAACCTTCCGTTTGTTTAGGAAAAAAACAACCGTAATAAAATGTCTGAAGAAAAATGTTTGTCATTGTTATACATACTTATATTACGTCTAATTATCATTGTTGTTTTTCTGTACTGTTCAACGCAATAAATGCAATTTCATCAGCTTTCTTGGCTTGTGAACTTGTTCGGCTTTTACCGCGATCTGCGGATTTTTTCCTGAAGGAAAAGCACCCATGTATGGTACATTGTGTCTCTACGTCCTCTAAAATTGCCACGAAACGTCGAATTTTAGGCCTCTATTGCCTCGTATTCTTCAAGGTGACCCACTCTATATTCTTCGTCTATTTTGGATCCACCACCTGCCAATTCTCCAATTAATGAGTCAAACTTCTTCAAATTGTCTTCTAACTTTTCGCTTCTGTTATGCTTCAAGGTCTTCTTTTAAGGGTCAATTTAGTAAATACACTCTTGCTCTTAGGAAACAATCTTCAAGTGACTTTAACATTTCTTTAACTTTTCTTTACGCATTTAGCCTTTGCATCCCTTATTTGCAAATCTGACTTTTATTTATCGTCACTAAAATATTTTTCTCAGTTACCAGCGCATCTTCTAGTTATTTTTGAGGAAAGGAAAGCACATACTCTAGACTTCCAATTATTCAAGTTGTCCGAATTTAACTGTGGAACTGATACAAGATTCAACAGTTAATTATTTTATGTTTTTAATTTTTCTATTTAATTTCACATCTGTATTCTAGTTATTTTTATATTTTACCTTACTTATCCGACAAGGCGTGCGATTTATAGCTCGTTGGGCGATTTTTGCAAACACATTTACGAGGATTGTAAGAGTCATTTTTCCTTAAACATTACGTTACTTCGACATACATTTTCCATAAAAATGGGGTCAAACGTTTTTTAATTAGTAGACTGAAGGAAAGAGTCTATATCAGTTTTTGCAGTTCTTTTGAGATGTTGGCGGTCCTTGTTCTATTTGCTACTTTAAAATGAGAGCTTTTGCAAAATTTTTGTTGGTCTTTCTGTGCAAATGCTCATTATATCGTTAATTTGTTTATTCATAATGTCTTTTACCTCGTCATCTGTGCCTTCTGGCATCTTTTCAAATTTTTCAGAATTTGCGATCTTAAATTTCCTTTTTTTGCCAGGTTCATATCTTGTTTTGCGTAGCATTTCGAAAGTTAACCTTCAAATAAAAGTGAGAAATAAATTTAAAAAAAAAGTTTTTTACACGACGGCATAAAAACACGAAAACCTCGCCAGTTTCACCTTCGTTGGGTTTTTAGCGCCTTTAAAACGTCGAGTAACCGGCTTCTTCCTAATGTTTCGCAAGCACAGAGTTTGTATTGCTTTCGAGCTAGTCGGCTTTGAACTGCATCAAAATGGCCCACTATTAATGCTCTTTCCACACATAGACTTAAGAATCACATTTCCAACTTAACTTTATTTACTTATAGGGATTTTTCCTCAAAATTGAGCGTTGCAAGGTCATTTTTCCTCAAAAACTTGTGCCCTCACACGCATTCCTTCCATTACAGAAGCTGGAACGAAGAAGTACTTCGAGCGCAAAAATCTGGCAAACATCCCAGCTTAAAACGGGCAATATGGAAAACCATCGGCAAGTCCTACATGTTCATCGGATTCTTAATATTCCTGAACACTTTCCTAATAAAGTAAGTCGGCTCAAACCCCTCCAGAGAAGATTGGTAAGCTTCGCCGTTATTTGCAGAATGAGCCAGCCAATTGTCTTGGGCCGCTACATCAAGTACTTTGAGAAGAACTCAACTCATGACGCCACCACAGGATGGTTGCTGGGAAGTGGCGTGATATTGCTGGCCTTTTTGAACATGGTTGCCACTCACTATACCATCATCAACTGTTTAAGAGTGGGGATGAGAGTGCGCATAGCCTGCTGCTCCTTGATTTATCGAAAGGTACTTCGCGTCTTCTACATGCAGGGTGACTGAAATTTGGTGCCACTCCTCTTTCGATGGCTGCACTTTGACTTTGTCAGATGAATCCATTTGCTTCTACTAAACAAATTTAGAGTCTTAGCAGCAAAGCTAAACTTTATGCATGCTGGACATGATTATACATTTAAAGTTTTGAAGAGCGCAATTTCGAAACTAACCACAAAAGAAAGTGGCGCCAATTTGAATCAACCCGGTCTGGTGCATGGTGGGTTGTAAGGTCCGTTTGATTAGTTGCTGCGATTGAATCACATTTCGTCTGGAAAAATTGCTGCTGGCCAATTGGTCAATTTGCTATCCAATGATGTGGTTCGATTTGATTTCGCCCTGGCTTTCCTCCACTATATCTGGATAATGCCCTTGCAAGGAATAGCCGGATTAATTGTTATGTACGGTTACATACAAAATGCCGCTTTTCCCACCATGCTGGTGATGAGCATTCAGGCAGTTCTGGGACAAGGTGAATCTTGGACAATTTCGTTCACACCAACTGCGGTTTATGTGTTTTATCCTTTCCAGGTTGCTTATCCAAGCTGCAAGGAAGGTTTAGAGGAAAAATCGCCACTCTCACCGATCAAAGAGTGAAGCTAATGAGCGAAATCACCTCGGGGATTCAGGTAATTAAAATGTTTGCTTG